TTGGTATTTAAAGTGAATTTTTCATGCATTCAATTTAATATTTTTTTAGTTGAAATCTTAACAAATTATTTCATTCTTAATTTATCAAATTTTTTGAACATATTGAAATTATTTATATATTAATTGGAAGAAAGAAAAAAGGATTCGACATGCAATCTACAAGAAATAAACAACCTTGATCCAAGATTCATGTTACTAGATTGGAGCGTACCGTTTGTTGAGCTTCTCTCTCTTAATAATAAACACAAATCAAAGATTTATTCTCTTGGCATACAGCCAGAAGTCTTACATTACAAGGTATAACGAGGGAAAAGCATAGTCATAGTTTGAGAAATCACTCATACATATATATTAAGCAAACCATAAAAACTTAATAAAACAGATTACATAATGCTGGACCAACACGCCAGTTCATCTACATTATAAGATCTTATATGGCAACAGTACAAGCACATAGGCATCATTAGAATTTTCCAGAGGTTACAGCATAGGAAAATAAGGACGAGCTGAAAGTATGAGTTGACATTGACCCTAACTGAGCTTCCTCCAGTTGATGGGGCTATTTTGGATCCTGCATCAATTCACACAATAAGTTACCACATATTGTCTACAATATTGCAATACTGCAAAAGAAGCTTGATTTTCTTGTCCCTTTTCTTAAAGCATAAAAATGCGTCATTTGGTCACCTTATGCGTATTAGACTAAAATATATCTCTCCGATCCAGTTAAAGGTAGAAAATATTTAAATGCATTTGGAGAATCAATTACAACATGTACCAATAACTGATGAGATATTTGGAGTTTGATCCCCTGGCATCCCTTGAGGAGAACCTGATACATCCACAACTGCCAAAAAATTAATTAAATCATTAAGTTCTAGGTACATTTTTAGGCATTAGGCTCCCCTGGCACATACCTCGAGGAGAAGCTGATGCTGCAACCACAGTTGCAAAAAAAAATTAATTAAACCAATGAGTTCTAAACATACATTTCAAAACAAAATGCAACGTTTTCTGTTTTGGAATTGGGCTAAATGAGCTATTACCATTGCATTCACTAATAGGAGGAGCCTGCACATTGCAAGCAGCAGGGAGGGCCAGAGCCTGAGTCTGGTCGATTGTAACACCAAGAGATGAAGCCTCGCCATTAAGCAATGAGCAAAGACATGTAGGCTGTGATTTAATTATGCTGGCGAGTTGCAAGCAGCACGAAGAAGATCGAGTTGAGAGGCCCCTAACACATAATTCAGGCATGGAGCCAGGTTGATGATGACACTGGTGCAGCCAGAAGTATCAGATTGTGCCATGGTTCTTGCACAAAATTGGGTCACTAGGACAATGACAAGTCCAATGTTTAGCCCTCTTGTAGCCATTTTGATGAAATGGGTCACAGATTCAGGATATAATCAGGATGTGATCTGTGCATTAAGTTCTACTTGAGTTGCTTTCTGGTCTAACAAGAGGAATGACTTGACATATATAAACCTTAGAAGGAAAGGATATTGGCAAACTAGAAAAAACAATCTGATGTAAGATTGTGCTACAACAAGTAACATGTGTCATTTTGGAGATGCTTTTGGAAGGCTATTTTTGGTAAGAAACGGTAAACTAAAACAACTATTCGCCAGTCTGGACTGGCCCGGTTGGCAATGGTTTAACCCTACTGTGGGTGAGGCCCATGTGACTTAGAAGTGGCCCAACTTATCGTGGGGCTGGATTGTCTTAAAACTGAGAGGAGTTTCGGGTTTTTTGCGTGAGATTACACAATTAAAATGTAATTTAAACAATGAAATTATTAAAATGCTATTAATAAAATACTATAGAGAAGAATTTTATTTAAAATATATTAATAAAAGATTTTTTTAGGGCATATGTTAAAGATATTTTTATTGAACTTGATTTTTTACATAAAATAAGGAATTTTATAAAACAAAATGCATCTTTATTTATTTAAAGTTATCCATTTAT